AATAATTAGTCAAATTAATAATTTTTAATACTATTTTATAAGTTGGAATAAATAAATTTAAACTTTTGATGTTAGGAGTCGTGTGAAGAAATATTTGAATTATTAATACTTTAAATAATCTTCCTAGTTAGGGAAGAGCTCTTGATTTCACTCATCTAATGTCTTATTTTTGAGATTTTAACCTACAGAAAGGAAAGATGCCCTAAAAATATCGATGGATCATAGATAAAGAATGATTCAAAATCTTCTATCTAAAAGAGAGGAGTTGATCTAAACCTGCAGAAATTAAAATTAAAAAAAAAAAAGAGTTGAATTTTCTCCTGTAAACTTATAACATATGATAAATTGTATTGATTAAAAACATTTTCTTTTTCAGTTAAGTTTAAAGCTTTGAAGGCAGGTTCCTTTATAGGAATAATTTACCAGTTAAGGGAATTAAAACAAATATTTTAATTTACAAATAATAATAGCCATCATAATAATAATATTGAATTACTTAAGAATAAATAGGAAAATAATATAGGAATTAGGCTCAGCCTTAATTATCATTGAAGTTGTATATGAGTTTTATCTAACTGGATGGTCAGTAGAGAGTTTTACTTAGAGAACCCAAGATTACAATTAAATTGTATTTAGTCTGCAATAACAGATATATTCACAATTGTACCCCTAACTGATAACTTAGGTGATTTGGAGAAATTATTTAGGAAATGATTTGAAACATGAGAAAATTCTAGTAAAATTTTGTATTTATATTAGAAAATTAGTTACTCAATTAGAGAATTAGTTACTCACAAATTCAATTAAATTTTTCAAGAAAAAAGGTACTGAAATTCGATAAATTTTAGATAGAGCGATAGAACAAGAATAGGAGAACTACCCTCCTAAAAAGAACTTAAATCAGAAATCGGAACAATTCTATGTTTAGTTATCCTAATCTTTATACAAAATTTAAGAGGTTCTAAGGGTGCAATTGTTAAACATAATTGAAGGATGCCTATTAGACGATATAGGAAATCAAGAAATTGGGTGAAAATTAGCTTATTTTGTAATCTATGCTGCATTAGAGTAAAATGAGCAATTGGAAAAGATTATAAAGGAGATTTCGGGTTAGATTAAGTTTAGGTAAGAAACTCTAAGGTGAGTTGAACTATGAGAAGTTTGAATTTAATGATTTAGATTTTTATTATTGTTACTTGCGAAATTTTTTCTGAATGATTTTTATCTTTAAACAACTCTTATTCTATATATATTAGAGATATATGTTGTTAGATAAGAATTATTTTAAGAATAGTGATTTGAATTGTAAGTTTGATATTTCAGAAGAATATATAGAATTTAAACCTTAGTGAGCTTAAATTCACAATGGTTGCAGTCAGATAGTAAGAGGCATCTCCATTATGTGAATTTTTAAAGTAGGTTTTTCTTTCTGTAAACTATTGTCCAAATTTTAAACAGGTATTCCCCTTCAACCTATTTGAAGTATCTAAAAAGATTCTCCATATACAATAATATAGGATTGAGATATAGCCTATCGATGTAGTTTTTTTTTGAGGCCAGACTATGGGGTCTATGATAAGGTTAACACTTTTTGTTTTACCATTAAGGTTATAGGAGGAAGAGTAATACTGTTAAGAGGTTGTGGATGGCGACTTGTCAGGAACTTGGTTTTTTTAGACCTTGAATATGATATTTATTTTCTAGTTTAATAAATCAAAAGATATAGAATAATATTGTATAAGGGCATTAATAATATAAGGTTAATATAAGAATTTAAAAATATAATTTTGAAAAATCAAATATTTAAGAGTCATTATAGCAACAAATTTAATTATAATTTAGTCTTTAGTACAAAGAAAGTTAACAGTGCTTAATTAATAATTAATTTTGAAAATTTAACAGATTTGATTTCAAATTGATGAACTTATTATATAAATTAAGGCACTTAGTTTGCTTTTATGAGAATTTAAAAATTAGATTAATACAATGGAATGTGTTGGAAATTAAAAATATTTAAATCTTAAGGTAGAAAATAACTATACTTTAATCTAATTAAATTAGGAAAATAATCTTAATAAAAAAAAAAGTCAAAATGTGTTAAATCATTCATATTCTTTCTCAAAATAAACAGAAGGAGCTGGAAATTTAAATATATAGTTAAATAAATAAAAATTTACAACATAATAAAACAGATATTTATAATTTTATATTAATTCATATACTAGAACATTATCAAATTGAATGTAAAAAAAGGAATAAAAATTTACGCTTTTCTTGAATGCGTAATCATATAGTATCAGTGTTATTTAGTAACATTATTATATTCTTATTTTGAGAATAAGAATATTTTTATCTTATCATTTTTTATTAAAAAAAATTAAAGTAAAAGATTAATTGATCCAAAGTTGCAAATTACTAGAAAACTGTGCATTCATAGAATTGCAAAGAAAGATAACAAAATATCTAACGAAAAGGATCTACATTTATTTGTTATAATGTGGAACCCCATAATATTATCTTAATATCAAATCATATAAAAATAAATTATATAAATTCAAAACCACTAATGTTCTCCCCTCTTTTAAATATATTATCATTTGATATTTATGGTTCCAATTTAAATTTCTTAATTCAAAAATTTAATAGAAAAAGAATTTATTTAAAATTAAGATATTTTTCTACTATGGGAAATCAAATTGAGATCGAGATTGATAAATGTAACTCTGATATAACTTGGAGAGGAGTATATAATAGATCTGGAGTTAAAACTGGGATTTGGGAAATCTACTGGAAATATGGTGAAAAGAATAATAAAATGTATCAATTAACAATTATTAATTAATTATTAGTGCTGGTGGTGAGTATGATAAATAAGGAAACAAAATTGGAAAATGGATTGAATAATCTGATAGGTTTAGATATGGGAATTAATCCACCTCAGAAGGAAAGTATAATAAACAAGGTGTGAGAGTGGGAATGTGGGACATATATTTGAAAAATGATGGAAAAAATAATAAAATGTAAAAATACAACATTTTTATATAGCGGAGGATGGGAATATGATGAACAAGGACGAAAAATTGGAAAGTGGATTGAATAAAGTAATGAATTTTAATCTGTTAATTAAACTACTTGGATTGGAGAATACAATAATAAAGGAGTGAAAATTGGTATCTGGGACATATATTACAATAATAAAGGAAATAATAATAAAATGTTATTATACTAACAATATTATTAGTGGTGGGGGTCGATATGATGAACATGGTAATAAAATTGGATTATGGATTGAATAAAATGATGGGTTTTGGACTGATAATTAATCCACTTATACTGGAGAATATAATTTATGGGGAGTTAAAGATGGAAAATGGGAAATATTTTGGAGATATGATGGAAAAACGTATAATATGTAATATTAAATAAAATATAATTAAATAATGTAGTGGTGGGGGAGAATTTTAAGAGGGTTGCAAATTTGGAAAGTGGGTAGAGTAAAGTTTAACCTTTGAAAATTTGAATTAATCAACTTGGAATGGTGAATATAATAATCAAGGAAAAAAGATAGGTTTATGGGAGATATATTATCAATATTGGGATTAAATGAAATAAAAGATGTATTTGTCTCATTTTTATTAAACTATTAGTGGAGGTGGAGAGTATAATTCTGACGGAGTAAAAATTGGGGAATGGATTGAATAAAGTGATAAGTTTAAATATGGGAATTAATCTACATGGCGTGGTTAGTATGATCAACAAGGTGTGAAAGTAGGAACATGGGAGATATATTTTAGAGAATTAGGAGATGAAAAACCGAATATTAAAATGTATCTAAACCAATATTTATTCATTATTAGTGGCGGGGGAGAGTATGATGAACAAGGAAGAAAAATTGGAAAATGGGTAGAGCAAAAGGATGGATTTTATTATAGCAACTCTATGAACAATAAATACATATTAATTGGAGAATATAAAGATGGAGTTAAATAGGGACAATGGAAAGACAATAAATTAAAGTGATAAAATGAATATTTTATTATTTTAATATAATAACAATAATATTAGTTATAAATCTGCTAATATATTTCTGAAGCAAAGGGGATTATTAATTCGATTTAAAAAATTAATAATTAAAAAGTAAATTTTCATTATCAATAATAATATTAATTGAAATGAAGAAAATATTCCAAAATATTTTCATAAAAATTGGAAGAAGACCCTAATAGGAGAACTCTTATTATACCATCACAATTTTAACTTTATTTACACTTATTTTCTAATGAAATATTTTAATCATTTTTTTTAATATTCAGTCCTTTATAGTATTAATAGAAATATAAAAATATATTATGTATGATAATAAATTTATTAAAAATATTGAAATGACACAAGATTATTATAAATAAAAGATAGAATAATTGACAGAAACTTTATTAGATCAATTTGAAGTAAAATTGTTTATTAATATATTGAATAGTCTTCATTCAATAAATTCGAAAATTATCTAGATTCACTTCTTAATTTAACTGATTCAATAAATTCTAATTATCAACAGATTGCATTTCCATCTGTTAATGTACCTTAAACTAATTTTGAGAATTTAAATTTTGCTCAATAATTATTTAAAGAAATTTAACCGTTAATAAAACAAAATGTTAACAATTAAGTTAAGCATAAAAAGAAACCTATTTATTAAGAATAAAATTTATAAATGTTAGGAGTTAAATAAAATATGACATCAGAATTTTAAAAATTAAAGATTGAAAAAATTCAAAATTAAATGGAATAAAAAGTATCAGATAGAGATGTTTTATTACAAGAATCAAACAAAAATAAGTCATTACTCTGTTATTAATCAAATAATGAATAATTTGAAACGGTTTATACCAATAATCAATCAAATGTTAAATCATTTACTTATTAACTAGTCTCACAATATTCAATTTCATAAAATGAATGTTGTAGAGCAATAGCTATAAATAAAGACTGTTCAATAGTATTGGCTGGATGTGGTAAAGAAATTAAAGTATATGAATTCAAGTAAGGATTTATTAAATAAATATAAATTTTAAATGAACATAATAATGATGTACATACTTTAAACTTTATGAAGAAATCAAATTAGTTTATATCTGGGAGTTATTAATCTATTATTATATGGTAATATAATTAAAATAATTTATGGGTTACCTAATAGATATTAAATGGACATAATAGTTGGATATATTGTTTAATATTAAATAATAATGAAGATTTGATTATATCAGGAGGATCAGATAACACAATTAAATTTTGGACGAAAAACAATGAATGGACTTGTTAGTAAACAATTAAAGATCATTTTAATTCTGTATTTGGATTAAGTTTAAATTAATAGTAAAATAAAGTGGTATCTTGTGGAAATGATAANGACAATGGAAAGACAATAAATTAAAGTGATAAAATGAATATTTTATTATTTTAATATAATAACAATAATATTAGTTATAAATCTGCTAATATATTTCTGAAGCAAAGGGGATTATTAATTCGATTTAAAAAATTAATAATTAAAAAGTAAATTTTCATTATCAATAATAATATTAATTGAAATGAAGAAAATATTCCAAAATATTTTCATAAAAATTGGAAGAAGACCCTAATAGGAGAACTCTTATTATACCATCACAATTTTAACTTTATTTACACTTATTTTCTAATGAAATATTTTAATCATTTTTTTTAATATTCAGTCCTTTATAGTATTAATAGAAATATAAAAATATATTATGTATGATAATAAATTTATTAAAAATATTGAAATGACACAAGATTATTATAAATAAAAGATAGAATAATTGACAGAAACTTTATTAGATCAATTTGAAGTAAAATTGTTTATTAATATATTGAATAGTCTTCATTCAATAAATTCGAAAATTATCTAGATTCACTTCTTAATTTAACTGATTCAATAAATTCTAATTATCAACAGATTGCATTTCCATCTGTTAATGTACCTTAAACTAATTTTGAGAATTTAAATTTTGCTCAATAATTATTTAAAGAAATTTAACCGTTAATAAAACAAAATGTTAACAATTAAGTTAAGCATAAAAAGAAACCTATTTATTAAGAATAAAATTTATAAATGTTAGGAGTTAAATAAAATATGACATCAGAATTTTAAAAATTAAAGATTGAAAAAATTCAAAATTAAATGGAATAAAAAGTATCAGATAGAGATGTTTTATTACAAGAATCAAACAAAAATAAGTCATTACTCTGTTATTAATCAAATAATGAATAATTTGAAACGGTTTATACCAATAATCAATCAAATGTTAAATCATTTACTTATTAACTAGTCTCACAATATTCAATTTCATAAAATGAATGTTGTAGAGCAATAGCTATAAATAAAGACTGTTCAATAGTATTGGCTGGATGTGGTAAAGAAATTAAAGTATATGAATTCAAGTAAGGATTTATTAAATAAATATAAATTTTAAATGAACATAATAATGATGTACATACTTTAAACTTTATGAAGAAATCAAATTAGTTTATATCTGGGAGTTATTAATCTATTATTATATGGTAATATAATTAAAATAATTTATGGGTTACCTAATAGATATTAAATGGACATAATAGTTGGATATATTGTTTAATATTAAATAATAATGAAGATTTGATTATATCAGGAGGATCAGATAACACAATTAAATTTTGGACGAAAAACAATGAATGGACTTGTTAGTAAACAATTAAAGATCATTTTAATTCTGTATTTGGATTAAGTTTAAATTAATAGTAAAATAAAGTGGTATCTTGTGGAAATGATAAATAAATATTAATAATTGAACAATAAAGATAGAATAAAGAATGGATTGTTATATAAAAGATTACAGTTGAATTATCAACATTACGAGTACGCTTTATTGAAAATGATATGTTTATATTATCATAATGTGGATAAGATTAGATATCTATTTTTGAGATGAATAGTATCAATAAATAGTTTACAAAGACTAAAGATATAGTTGTAAAATGTGGATCAGATGGTTATTGTTTATTTCCTTCATAATATATAAATTCAAAATCTATACTATTGAGTAAAAATGGTGAATATGTCAATTTAATTAAGAAAAAATAAAATGGATAGTATTTAACTGAATAATCTATTCATTTTGGTACAAATGTTTTATTTGGAGGAATAAGCGATGATGGAGAGTATTTGATAACATGGGAGAACAAATCGAAAGAAATACAACTCAGAAGATACAACGAATAATGAAGATTATTAAGAAATATTAAAAATATAATATATTAATATCTTTCAAAATTTATTCTATTTTTTATCAATAAAATAAGTTAGATATTATCTTTTAGGTAAAGACTTTTTAATCTTTTTAAGAGAGTTAGTTTTCTATTTCTTTCTAAAATTATGTAAATTTTAGTTTACTTATTTTATTTAAATTCTATAAGAAATTCTGTAGTTTTTATTATCAATTAAGTATTCTAAATTATCATAGAATTATGTTTTTAATGAAGTTTTGAAAGATTAGATTAAACTTTGCAGTATTTTAGTATAATTCAACTAGAAGCCTAAACTGTTGAAATTACATATTTTTTTAGAATTCCTAAATAGTTAATTTAATCAAAAATACATTGGAAATTTTCATTACTTAAGTTGGAAAATAGAAATTGTCCTTTCTATTGGTATTCAAAGTAATTTTCTATCATTTTTCAATTTGAATGATGATATTAGTTAAAATAGCACACGGATTTTTTACATTTGAATCCATAAGAACTTTATTATCAAAAGAATTGAATACAAAAAAATTCATTTTGAAATCTTTAAGGTGATATTAATGCTGATAAAGTTTTTCGAAATATGTAGAATAAGACTAAATCTGTTAATATGCTTGGAAATGGATAGATAAATTACCATTCAAATTTTAATTATTAGATCTTAATATGAAATATTCTTGAGATCTTATGTAAAATTAAAGAAGAAATTGATTAATTCTTAATATTGTAACATGATGAAATCAAATCTAATTTAATTTTTCAAATCTTGAATATAGATTTTTGATTCATTAATTCATTGTTCATAATTTTTAATACTAAAAGAGCTATCACATTAATAGTATATAATTTTAATTTTTACAATTAAAACCATTATAATCATTTAATTCTAATGGTTTTTTAATATATATTAAACAGTTCTTTCAAATAATTAATAATTACTATTGATGTGTTAAAATGATTAAATAATCTTAACTTTCTAGATATCATATTGAAAAGATTGCTATATAAATGAAAGCTTGATTTAAATTATCAGTAAAAGATTAATTTTCTACATGGTTAAGCTTCTTGTCTACAATTTATTAGAAAAAAGGATGAACATTTGTTATTGAATCATCTAAAAGTAATAATTAATCTATTAATTATTTCATTTAGAAAGCATTCATCATTTAATTCACCATCAAATATGAAATAATTGGCAATCAATAAATTCTATATAATATACTTCAAATGCAGAGAATCATAATTAAAGGTTTAAAATGAGGATGTATAATAATAGTACAAATTCATATGCTTAAATTTGCTACTTTTACTGTTGGCTTTGTAAGTTTCAGTAACAATTGATCTTATTGCAAATAGCTTAAAAGATCCAAAAGCTAAATTAATGGAATTAAACTTAAGCTAAGAGTTTATATTTAGACTTTTATTCAATAAACCTTTCTGATATAATTCAATTACCATATAATTAAGATTATCAATATAATATATTTAAAAGATGGAGACTTTGATTAAGCCTTTAAAGTATCTTTATCTTCCATCAATATTTATGAACATTAAGCTTAAAATCCTTAGAATAGGTTTCATTCATTTTTTCTAGTTAATTCAACAACAATCCTAAATTCATAAAAAAATAGTGCAACTTATATATAATGCACTCTTATAAAACAGGATTATTTCTATTAAAATGATAAAAATCTTTCAAAACTTATTTTTTTTATTTGGTTTCATCAAAAAAGTAACTAGATTGCTTCTGAGAATTAGATTAAATATTATAAAAATATTAGGTGTTACTAGATTGAAAATCAATGTTAATTTTATTTTGAATGAATTACATTTGGATATTAATGAAAATTAATCTCATTTATAATTTTAATTATGATCTTTTTAAATAACAAAAATAAGAATAGAATAAAAGAACGAAATAGCAGCTAATATAATTATCATAAAAATAGATTTTTACATATAACAATAATTATCTATTATATAGTATTCAGAAGTATTTTTATAAATTTTGTTATTTTGGATTCAAAATAATTGATTGATTACATAAAATATCAAAATAAAATTATGTAATAATTACATATTTATTCATGAATTTAGACTAAAACATGAATAATTATTCTGTGAACCGAAAGATTTATAAGATACATTTTAAAAATGATATTTCTTAAATCATTAAAATAAGCAAATATATTATCATTTACTCTAATAATTTTTAAATGACAAATTTAATGCTTTGTCACTCCATGATACAAATATTTTTACAGCTTTTTGAAAACAATTTCTATGAGTATTTTAACAATTAATTGTTTCATTCTTATTCCAAGCTTGTCTTTAA